GCCTGTTCCTCTTCTGCTGCCGGGAGCCGCCGTGCTGCGCCGGCCTGCGCGGTGAGCGGCCCGGACATGGGCGGGCGGGCGGCAGGTTGACGCGCGGCCTTCGCCGGGGTCCGGTCCGCCCGCGGGGTCCTCCCTCCCCGTCGCCCGGCGAGCGTGTCCTCAGTCCCGGCTCTTTGCTTAATTACTAAGTACTAAGTGTGCGTGGTTATACTCAGGTATTAGAAATGATCAGTTTTCAGAAAACTGGGGCCCAATAGCTTTTTAATGTTTGTGGTCTATTAGTCTCGTTATTAACTTAATTTGAAGACGCTCAAAGAGCTGCTTCGGTTGTGGGAACCAAACTAGTTTCTACACTAGAAGAATGTCTTGTTCTTTTTCACTTTTGTTATTTTCTTCTCTCTCCTTTCAGGAAATAAGCTCCCTGAAAGCAAAAACTGCCTTCTATTTGTCTTTTCAAGAAACGAGTCTTTTCAGCCCTGTGGGAGTAGAGGCTCAAGTATTTGAATTGACGTTTTGTTTTACTTAAAATACAATGCTTTTTCTTATTTTCTTTTAGTTTTTAGAAATCAACTCCCCAGGAAAAATGACTTTTACTCTTATGAACCACCTTCCGACGATCCTCCCCCAGAGGCAGGAGCGTCCTTGTGCCTCCAGCTCAAGTCTGGTGCTCATTTATGCAGGGTTTGTGGCTGTTTAGGCCCCAAAACATGCTCCAGATGTCACAAGGCCTTTTACTGCAGTAGGGAGCATCAGACTCTGGACTGGAGGTTGGGACATAAGCAGGCCTGTACACAATCAGGTGAGTCTATTTCTTTTTACTTTCAAATTTCAGCTCAGTTTCATAGCATCTATCAACCCACACCTTTTGTTTTGAGGATACAGATTAGAAATTAGAATAAAAATTAGTAATTAGAAAGGGTATAATACTTTTCAGAAGTTTGGTATAACAACTTTATGAAGGAGGAGCTATGAGGTCTTTCCCAGTTAGTTATGTCCCAGCCTTGCGTTAATAGAGGCATTTAATTTCTGACCCATGACTTAAAATACTGGAATCATATATATTATTTTACTAGGGAGAATTGTTGCTACATGGAATATAATTTAGAAACAGGACATCATTAGGCCATCTTCAAACTAAATTATTACTAATGGTGCTGGTTACCCTTTTCGTTTCAGGTGATTTGGACAATACAGTGCCTGACCACAACTTCCTTTTTCCGGAATTTGAAATCATAATAGAAACAGAAGATGAGATTACACCTGAAGATGTGGAAAAAGTAGATGAATCAGAGATTGTAGGGAGCATGGGTAAGGAGCCGGTTACAGAACTTTATTCACAAAGTGATTAAATATAATGCTTAAAAGAAAGGGCTCAATATGTCAAGAAGAGC